CACTCTTGCAGAGGCAGCGAGACCAGCTGCAGAAGGAGAAGGAAGAGTTGGAGAAGAAAAATAAGGAGCTGCAAGAGTCTCTGAACGAGGTGGTTCCAACTGTGAAGCAGTTGGAACAGGAGAGGTCTTCCCTGAGCACCAAGCTCGTCTTTGAGGAGAGCAAACGAAGGATCTCTGAAAGCGAGCGTGAGGCTCAGGCGCAAGAAATAAGGCTGATGACGGAGGCATTCAAGGAGCTGAAAGGGAACATGCAGAAGTTGGTGCATAATGGAATGAAGGAGCACATCAGTAACTTCATCAGTTCCAGCTTGTTTGACAGCATCGTCAACTTGTACCGGCTGCCCACTGCCATCATTGCTTTCACGGACTGCAGAAAGAAGGTGAAGGCTGTATATCCCGAAGTGGATGTTACGAAGATCACCTTTGGACAGTAGGAAGGAGGAGTGGAGGAAGATGGTGAGAGCATGTCAGTAGACTTTCGTCCTCAGATCGAACTGAGGTGGGAGGATGATGCAGACGGTCTTGTTGTTTTTCCTCCACAATTCGACTTCGAGTTCGTTGCAGTGGAGGAAGAAGGGGCAGAGGTAGAGGAAGACGGGGTGGAGGCAGGAGTGGAGGGAGCTGAGGTGGATGAGAGCCAACCAGTTCCAGAAGTGGAGATTCATCCAGTTCCTTCCGACGATGAGGAGCCTCCTTTGCCAGACGAGCAGCAGCCAACACAGCCACTTCCTCCAGCTGAGCAGGAGCCAATGGAGCCACCTCTCCCATCAGAGAAATAATTTTATTTTTTTAAGTTTTTGTAAAGACATTCGATCAGCTTGTAACACTTATATTATTGTGAATGAAAGTTTAGTTTTGAAATAACTTGTTTATTTGTGTTTGCCTTTTTGTTATTATATATTGATAGAAGAACTGAGACGATTTTAAGAAGGAAAGTTAATAAAAAGAAGTTAATCACTTCAGAAACGAACTCCAGAGAGGTGACATCTATTAACAGAAGTGAAGTAATAACAAGTAGATCATTGTAAATGAATTGAGAGGAGATAAAGCACTTCAAATGTGAAGTGACTTTTATTAACAGAAGTGAGGTTCGAGGAATAAATGAACTGATTGACCTCAGATACATATAATAAGAGATAAAATGAATCTCCACAAACACGAAGTGAGAAGCGTAAAGAACAGTAAGACATAGATTGCTTGGAAGAATTTCATTAGGGGTAAAATTTCTTTAAGTTATTGACATTCCAGACTCTAGGAACTCGCTTTCCTTCAGCGTCTTGGAGAATATAGGCACCAGGATGTGGCACTTCGGCCACGGCATAAGGGCCTTCCCAATTTGGGGCAAGTTTGCCAAAACGAGTTTCAAACCCTGTTAGGCCAGCTTTTCTGAGAACAAGGTCTCCTACTTTGAATGTTCGAGGGCGGACCCGTTTATTGTAGAAGTTGGCTAACTTCTGCTTGTATACAAGAGTTCGAAGCCGAGCTTCTTCTTTGACTTCGGTAAGCAGATCAAGGTTTTCCCGAAGCAGTTGTCCATTTCGTTCTTCATCGAAATGGGTGACCCGGAAGCTTGGGACTCCTATCTCAACAGGAATGACTGCTTCGGTACCAAAGGCCAGGTGGTAGGGTGTTTCACCTATTTCAGTTAATTAGAACTTTAGAATGCGCTTTATGCGTTATGCGTATTTGCTCTAAGGTAAGGCGTAACAAAATAAGTAAAATAATATAGAAATTAGCCAAATAGACTCGGTTTAATGCAGTACCTGTGGCAGTTTGACTCGTGGTTCTGTATGCCCAGAGGACGTTGTTGAGCTCGTCTGCCCACTTGGCCTTATGCTGTTCCAATCTCGGCCTTATACCTTCCAAAATGCATTTGTTAACA